GCTTACAAGCGAGTGCCAGAGGCGCTAACTTGTAGGGGCTCTGCAGATATTTGTAAAATTATTACTTTATGTATTTTTTGCTGAGAGTACCCCCCCCCCCCCTCCCCGACTGTAGCATCCTTTGAAGAGGGTAAAGGGGTGAGATACGAAGTATTTATTTTACCGCGCCAGGGGAATATTAACTAATATTCGGGACCACCACTGGAGGTGGTCCATTTTGAATTTGTCGTTCGATTTTGAAAAGCTGGTTCATTGCGTTCTTGTCTTCAGTAGATTTCACTTATGTAGGGAATTCGGGAAAGGAATTTAAGATGGTAAGAGCTATTCCTCTTGGTTGGCCCGGTTTAATTGATCGGAAAATGTCGTTCCATTTTTCCTCAGTCAGTCTGACATGATGGAAACAGTGGGTGCTTTCCATTAAAAGGGCGCGATCCATTCAACCAAACTTTCTGGAAATTTCGGTCTAAAACTGAATGGATCGGTTCGGTCCAGCCGGAAAAGTTTCAACAAATTCGGTCCACCTTTCCAGGTGGACCACCTTTCTCAGTTGGACCGGTCCGATCGAAATGGACCGTTCCATTTGACCATTCCGACCCATTCTCAATCCCAGTACTTCGCTGTTCGGTATTTTCCAGGTACTGGAGGAGAACACATTGCAGCTTTTATGGATTGTTAACAGCGGATCTATCGATATCGGTGTACAGTTACTCGTAAATCCATTCGCAGTAACAACAGGTCTGTAGCTGCTTAATTCGCAAGCCAAGTGTATGTTTGGCTGCTAGGGGCTCTAAAAGACGATATATTTCCCGAGAGGAAAGTTCTTTTCGTCATTCGAAGTGGTGTTTGAACTCATACGGCAAGTATCTAGGAACGGTCTGCTCAAAATAACCCGTTATACTGGTTAAATTACTACGCATGAAACAGCTCACACAAGATCATTGATATCACCGTCGAAATCGTCATCTAGCTCTAATACGAGCAACAGTGATCCAACATCCTCCATTTCGAATGAGCGCGAAACTCGTTTTTCGAGTGGAATGGAACGAGACCATTCATTCAGACCCGTTGCGATCCATTCGACACCAAGAAATTTTCGAACCTCGGTCCGGAAATTTTGGCTCTATGGATCGCGTCCAAAGATTCCGGAAATTTCGGTCGGAATTCAGATGGAAAGGTCCGTTTTGGTTTCTTCTGACCGGAATATTCGGGATCACCTCTGGAGATGGTCCACATTTTTCGGTCGGAATTTTCCGACCGAGATTCGCCGTTCTATTTCTTTGAGGCCCTAATTAGGGAATTCGGAAAAGGACGTAAAAATGGTAAGAGCCATTCCTATTGGTTGGACGGGTTTAATCGGAAAATGTCGTTCCATTTTCGTCGGGTATTCCCACTGATCTGTGACCGGTCGGTTTGGCATAAAAAAGCACCAAGTATTCCGATTGCTGGTCGATTGCGGCTTGTTGCAATAGGTGTTTCTCGCTGTTTCGATTGACGTCAGCTCACGAAATTACGACCAATCAGTGTCCAGAATGGTGCTAGCAATGATTACCGGAATTATCTGTGTCACGTTTCTATCGAAATCAAAGTGATACCACCGAGGAGTAGAAGGAGTTCAAGATATCGGCAAGGGAGTGAGATAAGACCTAGTGCAGTTATGGCTGTTGTCGACAAAAGCTGGCAGACAATGCGCTCATCTATCAAGGAGAGAGTGACGTTCCTTTTGAGCAAGGAGATTTTGAGTGATGTGAAGTTTGTTGTTCCATCTGGCGAAAGTGAAAGTAAGAAGGTGATCCCAGCTCACAAGTTTGTGCTTGCAATCAGTAGTCCAGTGTTCTTTGCCATGTTCTATGGTGAATTGGCGGAGACTACAGACTCTGTTGAACTGCCTGATTGTGACTACGAAAGTCTGATGGAGTTGTTTCGTTATTTGTACAGCGACGAAGTGAATTTGAGCGAAAGTAATGTAATGCAAGTGTCTTATTTGGCGAAGAAATACATG